TCCCACCTCCTTCTTCTGATCGCCCATCGGATTTGCTGTATGTTCTCTACTCTATCTGCGCCACCATCAGTGGCCAAACCTTCAGCTTCTTTGCCCCCAAATCTCTGGAACTCCATCTACCTCTTTCTTTCATTTACTGTGTCTTTTTGTCATATTTTAAAACCTACCTCTTGGTCTTCTCCCCTTCTCCCTCCCTCTCCACCCTTCTCCCTTGCTTGGTGTCTTGACTCTGTCACTTTGCACACAGCAATGTCCCACAAACAGTTACAAAGTGAATTGCCAATTTTATTCAGGGGATTGCTAGCTAGGACACCAGAAGAAACTCTCTAGTATAAACAAAATTAGATACCAATAGCTGCAACCCATTGTAGATACAACCTGCTGGAGATACAAATTAAAGATCCTTCTTCTCACCTACAAATGCCTCCACAGCCTCATCACAAAAGTTAATTCATGTACAACAACAACAACAACAACAAGATTCCATTTATAAAGCGCCTTTCACGTCAGGAGGACGTCCCAAGGCGCTGCACAGTTGGGTCATGACCCGAGCAGGGGGGAAATGGTCAGGGTGAGGGGAGGGAAGGGAGGGAGCGAGGAGGGGGGAAATGGTCAGGGTGAGGGGAGGGAAGGGAAGGAGCGAGGAGGGGGGAAATGGTCAGGGTGATGGGAGGGAAGGGAGGGAGCGAGGAGGGGGAAGAGAGTCGAGAGGGGAGCTGAAGGCTCGGTCAAAGAGAAAGGTTTTGAGACCGGCCTTGAAGGAGGAGAGGGAGGAAGCAAGGCGAAGGCACTGGGGGATAGAGTTCCAGAGCCTAGGGGCTGAGAGGCTGAAGGCCCGACCACCGATGGTAGGGCGATTGGGGCAGGGGACGTGGAGCAGACCGGAGCCGGAGGAACGGAGGGTACGGGCAGGTAGGTAGGGGGATAGTAGGTCGGAGAGGCAGGAGGGAGCAAGGCCGTGAATGGCCTTGTAGGTGAGGATGAGGATCTTGAAATCAAGATGTAAGATCAAGCCTAGAAGTTTGGCACATGGGCTAAGAAACCTGAGTCTTGCCACATACTTATAAAGGAATCCAGTTAAGAAATACTACTAATTTAACCTCCAATGTTATAAAAATAATATTTATTTGAAGAACAAATGCTTATTTTAATACTGATTGTGGTATGGGACAAAAGGGGCCTCTGGTACTGTGTAAAGTGATGATTCCTCTCTCCAGGGAAATCATACATTTTGAAAAAAAAGAATAGTTCTGAATCTTCACATTCCCCTCGATTTAATTTCCCATTTAATGGTAACATTTAAATCACTTTACTCCCTCCCCACCCCCCGAAATATATTTTAAAAGTGGAATGTTTGTGTCTCATTTTATTTTTGTTAGGGAAAAAGCTTCTCTCTTATCCCTTACTCTGGTGACAGAAGTCACAGAACAAAATCTAGAATTTGTGACCTTGGCCCCAAAACAAGAAAGTTAATGCATTGAGGTTGGATCTGTCTCCCCAATGGAAACCATAATCTAGTCAGCATGACATTTTGGATTTTCAGCAGCATATATAAAAAGAGAGAAAACAAATTGCTTGGAATTCAGTTTCCCAAAGGGGCTATTTTACATTCTGAGAACATAATAGAATTAAAGAATGCTTTTTTGTTTGGTGAATATCGTTGATTTCAACATATGTGCCTTCTGAGTTTCTGTAACTTTGAAAATGAAGAGATAAAAAACAGAACTTGTTTCACATATTACAATACAATACAAAATTACAATATAAAATCATATTAGTATAGCGCCTTTCAAATCGGGAAGATGTCCCAAGGCGCTGGATCGTCAGGGATTTGGACCTGAGCAGGGGGTTTAGGATCAGGGAGGTTGGAGGATAGGAGGGTGGCCGAAGGCACAGTCGAAGGGTAGTGTCTTGAAACATGTCTTGAAGGAGGTAATGGAAGGAGTGAGGCAAAGGGAATGTGGGATTGAGTTCCAAAGGGAGGCTGAAGGCCTGACCACCGATCGTGCAGTGGCCAGGGCAGGGTCGTGGAGCAGGCTGCAGCCTGCTAAGCAGAGGGAGAGGATAGGTTGATATGGGATCTTGCCACAGAGCTTCAATACATAATAATATAATACAACAACAACTTGAATTTATATACTGCCCTTAATGGAGGATAGCATCTCAGAGTCCTTAACAGTCACGGAGCTTGCTGGAACCAAAGAGAAAGGCGAGGTGACCATAGGCAACGTCTGAAAGGAAAGTCTTGAGGTGTGATCTGAAAACAGTCAAGGAGGAGGAATTGAGGCAGAGAATTCCATTTGATAAAGAAGCAGCTTTGCATTTGGTGCACTGCCTTTATCACGTTGTCGAAAACGTCTCAGTGAAATCACTTCACCAGGTTTTTATTATAAATTGTAGTGTCCCTTTATTTGTAGGTGAAATATATTGATATATCCATTTTCCTATCCCTGCCTGATATATTGATCTGTGATTATCTGTTCTGATGTTGCAGAGATGAAAAAGTACACAAATGTTGAAACTAGGGAAATGCTGATTTGAGTGACCGGCAAGCAACAACTTGGAAACAGTGACAAAAGAGAATGTTTATGTTTTTCTTTTGTGGCAAAGGTTTAATAGAATGTTTCTCCTTGAGGATTTATTTTAATGCAGAATGGATAAGTTAGATTTACCTATAGTTTCTGCAAACCGTCTCAAATTAAGTTTATTTTATGATTGTTTTTGTTCTGAAAGTGAATTCTTATTTTTTGCATATTTCTTGGGATATAGTTGGATTAACTACATGTGTCTAAGAGATGCGGATACCTCCAGTCAGTCCCATGTCATGGATGAACTGTAAAACAACAACAACAACAAGATTACATTTGTATAATGCCTTTCACGTCGGGAGGACGTCCCAAGGCGCTGGACATTGTACAGCATTTCAGATCTGAGCTGGGGTCAAGGAGGGAGAAGGGAGGGGAGGGGAAGTGGCGTGGCCGATGGCATGGTCGAAAAGGAAGGTCTTGAGGCAGGACCTGAAGGAGGCTAAGGAGGGGGCGAGGCAGAGTGACTAAAAGTTTCTATTCAATGTATACTTGTTCAGTATCTTCCAAATGAATACAGGAAACATGAATTAAATTCTTATTCCTGCATCCTAAATCAGTTATATCTGATGATATCATTGTAAGACTCTTCTATAGTGTAAAAATCTGGCATATGATCCTTTGCACATTCAAAGGATGCCAGCAAAGGATAGGTACAATCTTTCACTCAAACAATAAACCCCTTTGTAGAGCATTCAGTGCCTTCAAGCAGTGATCCTGGTATATTCAAGGCTTGGCCCACCCAAAGTGAATGTGGACTGCTGAGTAAATTTGCCATTGAGATGGCATTATTTTGAATTACTATACATGGTAAACCAAATCATGCCAGTGAAAAATCAGCTTGCATTTATATAGTGACTTATATATACGTTGGATAATGTCTCACAGCACTTCACAGCGTTGACTAATGCCAAGGCTGTAAAAAACAGTCTTCACACAGGAAACACATTTCACTGAAATGATTGCTGAATATAATAAAATTAAAGCACAGTCGAAGAGGAGGGTCTTGAGATAGGAGGGGGCAAGGCGGAGGGAGGCAAGGGAGGTGGGCAAAGGAGGGGGCAGGGCAGAGGGACTGCAGGATGGGGTCCAAGAGGGTGGGGACAGAGTGGCAGAAAGCCCGCCCGCCAATAGTGGGGCGAGTAAGGCGCGGATGTGAAGCAGACCGGAGCCCGCTGAGTGGAGGGAGCAAGCAGGTTGGTAGGGTGTTTAGGAGTTCACAGAGGTAGGGGGGAGCAAGACCATGGATGTCTTTGAAGTTGAGGACCAGGAACTTCAACTGTATCCTCTGTATGATGGGAAGCCAGTGGAGTCGGGAGAAGATGGGAGTGACAGGTCACGGAGCCTAGTGCGGGAGAGGACATGAGCTGCAGAGTTCTGGATGATCTGAAGCCTATGTTAGAGGAGTTAGGGAGGCCAAAAAGCAAAGAATTTGCAGAGTCAAGCCTTGATGTAATGAAAGCGTGTATGAGAGTTTCGGCAGCTTGTGGAGTGAAACAGTGGTGGAGCCAGGCGATCTTGCGGAGGTGGAGTAAGGCAGAGCGGGTCATGGCATAGATGTGGGATAGGAAGGATAGTTGAGGATCAAACAAGGCCCCAAAGTTCCGGACTGGTTTAGCAAGGTGGAGTGTGCAACCATGGAGTGTGCAACGTGTAGAGGCGCTGACGGGAGCCAATAAGGAGAGCCTCAGTCTTGTTGATGTTCAATTGAAGAAAGTTAGCTCTCATCCAGGACCTAATGTCTGACAGACAGTCTGTCAGGACAGCAGTGGTCCTAGAGACAAGGGTGGAGGCAAAGAGGTACAGTTAGTTGAGACATGCGCAGGTAATTATTGTCAAGCTCAGTGACTGTTTTGAGTAAAGAAATGTGGCAGCCATTTGTTCTAGGAAAGTTCACCTGCAAAATATGCAATTACCACACTTCATTGCATATCCTGGAAGCATTTTGAGATATCCTCGCAAAATGAAAAGAACTATATCAAATGCAAGGATTATTTTATTATTTCTGAGGGTCCCACAGACAACCCTAAACCAATGATCAACCATGTGCCTGAAGGTTTGTTGACCAATAGCAACCACCTCACCACTTCAGTGATAAGAGAGTTGAAAGACAAGATGCAGCCGTGAGAAACGCTGTGAGGAGGAATTGGCCCTGTGGAGTTGTAAACCTTTTGAAATTGGGCTTTTTTTATCTGCAAACCTTTGTAGGAAGAATTTGAATTTGCCCCAAGGATTCAATTTTGTTTCCTTGAGGGGCTAATTATCTGCTGTGCCTCATGGAGCTGTCATACTGCAGTATAACAATAATACGGCAAATGTAACAATGTTGTATTTACTTGTCTTTAGCTCCATTGCATTTCCGCAGCTGTTCTGCATTTTGCAGAAGTAAAACTATAATTTATTTCCTTTTAATAGGTCTACGATGGGAAAGATAGCACCACTCACCTTCTGGGTGCTTACACCGGCACTGGGATGATGGGATTGACTTTGACAAGCACGTCTAATCACCTGTGGCTGGAGTTCAACACGGACTCCAAAGAAACTGATGAAGGCTTTCAGCTTGTTTACACTGGTGAGTGCTTCAGCAAAACAGCTTGGTACCATTATGGTCAAGGGAACTCATTACTTTTCTGTACAACAACCAGATTTTGTGAACATCAACATGCTGGGTTGCAGTTGGAATTTTACAGTTATCATAGAGCTACAATGGATTACATACAATTTTTCTTTAAGTCTGAACCATTGAACATTTGAAGCAGGTTTACAGAAAATGTTGTCTGCATTTTCTCAGAAAAGAAAAAAAACTGTGAAATAGAGCATTAACTCTAGGCAACGAAACAAAGAGGGCCTGAGTTCAGGGTTGAGAAGAGGAATTTCAGGATAGATACAGAGTATTTATTTGTGTAATTAGTGACTCAAAATGGTTACAAGAAGAGTGGCCATGGCAAAGCTGTTTGACTAATTTAAGCAACAATCATGTTGTAACGGGACAGTAGTTTGGGCATTCAGGAAAGTTAGACAAGCAGCAGGACATTTGGCAGACGCCTCAGTAGCAAGTTATGCAGTTTTAGTTGGAAAAATTCCTGCAGTATACCAATGCACATCCCATTACAGACACAAATAAATCTCCATTTATAGGTGGATTATAAACTCTCAGGCAGGTTTGAATATTCAGGCATGGTGATGAGTTTCTGCATATCCCAGACACCTGGCTGATCAAAAGAAAACATGTTCTTGTTTTGTAAACTAAAACTATGAGAGAATTTTGGCTGCTATGGGTGTTCGATTTCATCTTGTTTTGTGGCAGGAATGGATAACATTCAGGGCTCCGGAATCTGCCCTTTGACATTCCTACCCATCTAGCACAATGTCTGTGAATGGCAGTGGGATAAAAATCAGCTCATGGGAATGTGAAGATGTGTTCAAGGATTTTTGTAGGGACAAGGTTAGCATAATTGATTTGTGAATGAATAACTTGGATTTGGAAGATTAATTTATGAGCCACTGAATGTGGGTGACCTCATTGAGGAATCAAAGACTCCCAGAGTAATCAACAATTACGTTTCAGAGAATTGTTAAAACAGAATAAGATTCCAAACTCTGTACCCAAGGCCATTTTATGAACACTTGCAATTTAAGCAAATTAGCATTTTATGTTTAGAGGTCAAGCAGAATGAAGATAGATTCCAGAACAGCAAACATGAGCTCTGCCTGAATTTGTTTGTATGTTTGTGTTGGAGCTAAGGCCATAATACAGTTGAGAGGTTTGAGTACAAGAGTATAATTGATTTGTTATTTAATGTCAAACTTAATTGATTTTTGTGTTGGTGATGTAAACATGAAACAATGCATTACAGGATTTGATTTAAAAAACAATCACTCAAAGCTATTGTTGGTTTAAGCATAACAATTGACCAACTAGTGTCTGACCTCCTTGGGGTGGAGGTAAGCAGTTTTTTTTGGAGCTGAGCTGGTTCCAGAGTAATGGAAAAACAAGTCATAATCAGGTCAACCCTCTGCAGGAATCTCGGTATTCCCGTTCCAGAGCTAGGGAGGACCATAATACTCCAGGGCATTACTGAAAACAGAACAGCCAGCCTGGCTCATCAGAGGATTTTGAGGGAGAGACCAGTTACAAGGAGAATGGATTCTTCCTACTCACTCTTTTTAAACATGCAAGCCAAAAAATGAGCTGATAGTCTGGTTGTAGTTGGACAAACAATGAGAAGTTTGTCAGACAAGGGTTTCAATGGCAAGTTATGCGTTTTTAGCTGGTTAAACTCAGGTCCCCAAATATTGGCTCTTGGCCATCTGTTCCTGATCCTCTCTAGAATTAGAAGTGCTTTATTAACAGAGTAAATATGGACCCAAGTGAAAGTTCTTAGGGGGGCCTTTATCTACATTCTAAAATAAGGCAATACTGGCATTACTTTTGTAAATGGTGGCATGTCCTCATAGTAATCCGAAAAGTACTGACAAAAGTCTGATGAGTTCTTGACTGGTTAGGCAAGTCAGGATTTTGAAATTCAAAACCGCAAACATTTTCAAAGGTAAAAAGAAAAAGCTGCACATGTTTGACAAAACATTCAGACCGAAGGCCTTTGCCAATGTTCAGGATTCAAATGTTGCTGTATTTTTTTTTACAAACTCACAATCAGCAAAATTAGAAGTTGCAATTAACATTCCACATCCAGCTTGTGAATATTGTGGGATGTGGACTCCTGTAGCTCAGTGGGTAGACCACACGCCTCGCAAGCGAGAGGACCTGTGTTTGATTCCTGGGTAGGGTGAAACGTTAGGAAAATTTCCTAACCCCATATGCCTCTGTTTACCTAGCAGTAAGTTAGAACCCAAATTTGTCAATTGGCAGATCGCTTTTCCTGGGGTAATAATTCCTTCAAAAAAATGTTTTAATAATAATTATTTGGTCACTCAATCCACGACTGTTTGTGGGACACTGCTGTGTGCAATTGGCTGTAGCGTTTCGCCCACAAAATATACAGTCAATTCACTTTACAGTATATTCTGTGAAGCACTATATCAAATGCAAGGATTATTGTTATTATTATATCAATTAGTCATTCACGTCATGGCTGTCAGCTGTGCCCAAATTGGTTGTCACATTCAGTTACTACTAGACACGCCCTACAATTTGGAGTAATTCTTACTGAAAGCTTTAGGATGTTTTAACAGCATGATCAGGCACTATGTCGAATATAATCATTATTATTATTAATGTAATTGGTTTTATGAAAATAAAGGGTTAAAGGAGCAGTGGAGAATAACAGTATAAATTATTCAAAAGCAGAATACTTGAGGAGACATTAAAAGAGATTGTTCCCTTGAGCCATACTGTTTTGTACAAGAGAATGTAGAATTAAATATCTTACCTAATAAATAATTTGGTGCTGCAATACTTAAGACTTTTTTTTAGTGTGAAAATTCATTCTGATATTACTTTGCTTTTTGTCAAAAAGGTAAATCTCTTAGTTTCTCAAGTGGTTTGTCTCCAAGTTCTGAAGCTATGCATGCTGACAGTTCTGATCATGTTGCCAGGATTATATCTGTTCTGCCTCAGTAACTGTTCTGCTCTCCCATCACAGGGTTTGAGCTCTCTCACTGTGAAGATCCTGGTGTGCCTCAGTTCGGATACAAAATCAGTGACCAGGGCCACTTTGCTGGCAGCACTATTTCTTATGGTTGTAATCCAGGGTACACTCTACATGGAAGCAGCCTTCTCAAGTGTATGACTGGAGAAAGAAGAGCTTGGGATTATCCTCTTCCATCGTGCATTGGTATGGAACTTGTCTTCTTTTCAATAAGTATAACTGAAGGGAAATGTTTGATGCCGATCAATGCAAGGACTACAACGCATCAGTTGAGATGTATTCTATATCTTGTGTGGGAGATAACATTTCTTTTTCCAAAGCTTTACTATGATTACCTGGGGTTATGAAATGGAAAACTATAATATGGCCTGGAGTTTGCAACATACGGGCTGGCGTGATATATATATAGTTATTGGAATGAATGTTTGCACTAAATGATTCCTTATTAAGAAATCTTGTTACGAAATACCATAAGAACATAACAATTTGCTAGGTGAAAGAAGACGAAGGTCCATCCTAGTATTCACTTGACATGTCGTGTCCGAAACTATGTCCTGTATCCCGAGATATTATTTTCTAGCAGAAATCTATCTAATTTGTTCTTGAAACAAACAACATTTTCTGCTTGCACCATCTCCATAGGGAGCCTGTTCCATAAGTTTAGTACTCACTCATTGAAGTAGTGTTTCCGCAGATTTGTTCTGAATTTGCCCCCCTTCAATCGCAGGCCATGTCCTCTGGTTCTACTGTTCAGTACAAGATAAAACAGCTTATCATGGTCTACATTATCTATTCCCTTTAAAATCTTAAAAGACAATAATCCTTTCAACCCTCAATCTTCTCTTCTCCAGCGTGAACATGCCCAGTTTACTTAATCGCTCTTCGTCCAGTCCCTCCATCCCCTCAATCATTTTGGTTGCCCTCCTCTGTCTCCTTAAGTATTAAAGATTAGAGACAGTAACTGGGGTCCCATCTGCCTGTTCAGGTTGACAATAAAGATTCCATGGTACTATTCAAAATGTGCAGAGTTTCTCCCAGTGTCTTGGCCAACCAATCCCACAAATACAATTGACCACTCACTCCATGCTTATTTTTGGGACATTGCTGTATGCAAACTGGCTGCTGTGTTATAGTTCACTGCAGTATTTGATTTAAAAACCAATCACTCAAAGCTATTGTTTCTTCCGTTGAACATCCACAAGACCGAGGCCCTCCTGATTGGCTCCCGTCAGCGCCTACACACCTCAGGCGCTGACAGCATCACCATCCATGGATGCAAACTCCACCTTACTAAGCCAGTCTGGAATCTTAGCAACTTGTTTGACCCTCAACTGACCCGCTCTGCCATCACCCCCTCCGCAACATCTGCCACTGTCTCACACTGCAGGAGTCGAAATTCTCATGTACACATTCATTACATCGAGGCTTGACTATGCAAACTCCTTGCTGCCGGCCCCCGCAAAACCTCCCTCCATAGGCTGCAGATCATCCAGAACTCTGCAGCCCGTGTCCTCTGCCCCAACTCCACTGGCTTCTCATCACACAGAGGATACAGTTCAAGATCCTGGTCCTCACTTTCAAAGCTCTCCATGTTTCTTGCTCCCCCTACCTCTGCAACCTCCTAACCCCTACCATCCAGCCCGCTCCCTCCGCTCAGCAGGCTCCGGCCTACTTCACGTCCCCTGCCTCTCCTGCCCTACCTTTGGTGGGTTGGCCTTCTGCTACTCTGCCCCCACCCTCTGGAATTCCATCCCGCAGTCCCTCCACCTTGTGTCCCCCCTTGCCTCCTTCAAGACCCATCTCAAGACCCTCCTCTTCGACCGTGCTTTCGATCACCCTGCTTCCTCACCCGCCCTCCACTCTCCCCAATCCCGACCCCCAACTCGGATCCAAAACACTGACTGTCCAATGCCTTGGGACGTCTTCCTGATGCAAAAGGCTCTATACAATATAATTTTGTTGTTGTTGTTGTGTTAATCCACTTTAAATATATCCTGTGAAGCACTTTGAGATGTCTCAACAAAGTAATAAGGCGCTATATCAAATGCAAGGGTTATTATTAAAATAGGGGATAAATTCTAACTGGGTCTAAATGTACTTTATTTGTGTAGCAGTTTAGCCTGTTCAATATTTGGCAAATTGTTGAATTAATTCTTATCCTTGAAGATGGTTTTGTGTCGTTTCCTAAAAAGGAGCAGAACAAACAGCTTCAAGATTAAGGCTGTGTTGAAGAATTTTGCCAGATTCTCGATGTTCTAAAATGCTACATAACTAATCTATACGTAGGTGCAATTTCTCCCCATGCATTGTGTCATCATACCTGATATAGTGTTGTTTTTGTGTCAGCTGAGTGTGGAGGCCAGTTCAAAGGCGAATCGTCAGGAAGAATCCTATCCCCTGGCTACCCTTTCCCATATGACAACAATCTTCGTTGCATCTGGACGATAGAAATGGATCCAGGAAATATTATCAGGTACCATAGCTTTTTCAGTGAAAATATAAAATGAGAATAAATCCATCTGAAGTGTCCGTTGATGCCTTATTAATGAATGGATTAACAGGTAGTGCATCACAGTTCATTGCAATGCTTATGTAAATCACTTACAAACTCTCAAAGCACTGGTGAGCAATTACTACTATATTTATGCTGGTCAATTTAATATGCTTTCTGAATCAAGTTGACACTAAATATGCAGCATAAATCCAGCTTCAGAGTAGAATCAATGCAGGACAGACAATTAGTGGATTCACAATATCTACCCTGATTCTGCATTTTTGAGATGTTGTGCGAAGGTCCCATCTATCTGTTGGGGTAGATGATAAAATCTATCGAACTATTTGAGAAGAAAAAGGAGATTCTCCCAGCGTCTTGGCCAATACCCTTATAAAATTAGCCATTCACATTTTTGTTTGGAGGACATTGCTGTGTGCAAATTGGCTGCTGCCTTCCTCTACAAAATACAGAGCCACAACACTTTATCATAAAGGATGTGAAGTACTTTAAGACATTTTGATGATGTGCTACGGCACAACATCAAGTGGAAGGATTACTTATTAGTAATCATGTTTCTGGGCCTCAAATGGTTAACTGAAATAAAATGTATGTTGCAAACGATTAGTGTTTGGAATTCCATTTGAGAACGTCATATATTAGACCCCAGTGTAAGACAGTAATTTTGCTTTGCTATTGGAATCACAATCCTCTTGTGAAATATGAACAATGCTCTCTGTTTTGATTAATTTTTACATCTGTTTGTAGTCTCCAACTTCTTGCCTTTGATACGGAGGCATCTCATGATATCTTGCGAGTCTGGGATGGTCCTCCTGAGAATGAGATGCTTCTGAAAGAATTGAGTGGATCACTCATCCCTGATGGCATCCACAGCACTCTCAACATTGTCACGATACAGTTTGATACAGACTTCTTCATAAGCAAATCTGGATTTGCTGTGCAGTTCTCAAGTAAGTGCCTATTTGTCTTCAAAATTAATTAACTAGTATCTGATACAATCCTTGAAATGGTCAGGAGTCAGCAGCAATAGTCGGCTACTCAATGACTGCTAACAGCAAAGAATCCAGCGTTGCTGGACTCAACCATTGTGTCCAACTGTTTGGAACTTCACTGCATGTCAGTCAGTAGCTTTTGCACAAAAGGTGGAAAAATGTCTTTACCCAATTCGTTACCCAATTACGTTAATTGAGTGAATCTATATCCAGGGGGAATTTCTTCCCACGGTATCTGAGTTGATTGAACTCTTTCATCTCTTCACTATTCAGTGCACTCTTTTCTGTTACATTATAAATCCAAGATGCAAATTATTTCTAACCCGCCTTCCAAATTGTCCATTAAAGTGAACCTTCCAGGAACTTTGAAGGAGTAATTCAAAAATTCCTCAAGTATTAATGTGCCGACTTTAAATTGTTGACAGAATTTCAACCTGAACCATGTGTTCGGAAAGAATTTGCAAGGCAGTTAAAATAGTGACGTAAGATTTACCACTTGAGATTTCACCAATTCAGAGAAAACATGGTACATGCATAAGGAGGTAGGCAATAGAGGAGAGTAGAAAAGGGCAATAGAATCGATGGGGGTTTGTGTGGATTATAAACACCGTCACAGACTAATAATCCTTACATTCAGGATAGCATCTTTCACATCTCGAAGTGCTTCACATGATATATTGCAAGTTCTAGTAACTATATTTTGTGGACTAGCTGGGCCAAATAGCCTGTTTCCATGCTGCATTGCGCTATGTAGTTAGCAGGTAAATGGTATCCTTGTAAATCGTGAACATTTACCACTGTGATTCACACTGTGAGAAAGAGTCCCTCTGTTAGCATCACCCAAATAAGCATTAATGACAGGTCCAGTAGTTTTAAATTGACACTAAATAAATTATTGTCTGTCAGAAAATAGCCCCCAAGAGCCCTTGACCACAGCAATTAGTCTCATTCAACTGGAGAAACCTTATTTCATTTTTGCTGCTGATTAGTTTGTATTCTTCTCAAAAAAACACATCAGCAATAAATGTTTATTTATAATGGCCATTACCATACACGTGTTCTGTTCCAGATTTGAAAATGCAAGCAAAACCGATGCTGTGCGTTTTATGTTCATATTAACTTAATGATAGACCAGATGCACATAGACATTGTAGATGTAGGTCATTGTAGGTGATTCATGCTTTGATGTGCTTTGTTCTGTCATGGAGTTTATAAAAATCTTATTTTCTTTCTTATTCTTCCTTCCTTTACCCAACTGTGCAGCGCCTTGGGACGTCCTCCTGACGTGAAAGGCGCTTTATAAATGGAATCTTGTTGTTGTTGTTGTTGTTCCTTATTCTACAGTTCAATAGAACTCAGAATTGCACACCAACATAAAGAGCTGAACATTACTTTTTTTTAATTGTATATTGTTTACAATCTAACCATTCTGAATTAATCAATGTGTTCAAACACTATCAGTTGAAGGGATTATTGTCAGTACCACCTCTAAGCTTTCCCTTTGACATTCTCTCTAAACTGTCTACCATGGTTGGTTGCTCTCTTACTATTATGAGTTGTGTTGTAGTTAATCTGTCGAATTTCTTCCCATTCCATTGAAAACTTTGCAGTTTCCTGTTATTCTTTCTGCAGCGCAACACAATGCATCCCCTCAAGCATGCTGTGAAATTGTGCATAATGTATCCCTGGATTTGAAACTTTTCTATAATCCTTTTTCAAAAATTAACTGTTATATGGCAGAGCGTTAATGCAAACTTTTTTGTTAGAAAGTGCAAGTGAAAATCTCAGTTCTAGCTGAAGTTTGCCTCTTATTTAATATGTATAGCATTGCAGAATATGCTTTAATCGTATATTGTAAACTGCAAATCGATTTCCTACAATACAGCTTACAATTGTGTTGCGTCTTCCATGTCAGGAGGACATCTCAAAGAGCTTGACAGTGCTGGCTGAGCACCCAAGCTAGGGGTGGGAGCAGTGGGGTGGGGAAGGGAAAGCTGATCGAAAGATCTGTCCAAGAGGTAACTTTTGAGATGGGCCTTGAATGATGGGAGGTAAGAACTGAGGCGGTGGGACTCTGGAGTCCTAGTTCCTGAACCAGATGGGTCTACGGTACACAAGGGCACTGCTGATGACAGCACAGTCAGCCTGGCTCATCAGCAGGACTTAGAAGGGCAGACCAGTCACTAGAGGCAGGGACTCTTTGCACTCAGCTCCTGTTAACCCTGCAAACCAAAGCCCTGATGGGTAAGTTGATTCGAGCCGGACAAGCAGCTCAAAGGTGGTAACATTGTGTTATACATGGAAATGGTCAACCAAGCATAGCTCTCGAGCAAAGCCTGCAATGTTGTAAAATGCCACAATGTGGTTAACTCTGTGTTTCTTGTAACTTGGAGAGATGAATGAACCTGTCAGGCTTGTGAAACAGTGCATCAGTCACCTCGTGAACAAAGGTAGACATGGTAGTTTGATCAGTTATACTGTAATCTCTTTCTGATGCCTGACCCATGAGACAAAAAAAGCAAACAAATTGATGACTGCGGTAAGTTAGCCATAGGCAGAGCAATTGGAATTGCAAAGCACAACTCCAAATCTGTAGTGAACATTTGACATGTCTCGATAATAACCTTTCTGGAAAACTACAACAAGTGAATGCACTACTGCTCAAATAAGGGCAAGTATATGTTGCCTTTCACAACAGTATATCTTTCTTCTCAGTGTCCTCTTGTGTCTACATATCTTTTCATTCTCCCCTATTCCTCTTGAAATTTAAATTGTAGCATTGGAGAAAGTCCATGGTAGATTTGCTAGGATGTTATCATGGTTGAGTGGATACAGCTATCAAGATTGGACAGATTACATCTTTCTATCTGCAGATTGTCTGATTCAAAGGGGATCTGATTGAGGTGGTTGATTATGAAAGGATTTGATAAGGTGGACATGAACTGTTTCCACTTGGTGATGAATCCAAAATTAATGGGCATAAATTTAAGATAACTAGAAACACATCAAAAAAGGGAGGTAGGAGGACACAATTTACACAGAGAATGATGAGAATGTGGCATCCACTTGCATTATCTGTACTTTACTTCTTTCTGCTATTAAAGATACGTGTTACATTTTTTATAATGGAACTTCCTATTGTGGGACAGGGTGGTGGTGTGTGTGGGGGGGAGAAGATAGGTTATTTTTGCAGTCAATGTGAGATAGAGTAAATTATCCTGGTATCCTGGCCAACAATCCCCCCGATAAAATTAATCGTTCATGCCACAGTTGTTTGTGAGACATTGCTGTGTGCTACCAAGATCTCCAAAAAAACTTTACATTTAAGCCCGTGAAGTGCTTTGAGTCATTCTCCTCATGAGAAATGTGTTATTTCAAACAACAGGAATTGCATGTTCTTTTGTTAGGCGTGAGTAGCTAAATATTGGAGGTGAAACTTGCATATGTAGAATGTCATCCTAAATATTAAAACTCACCAGTAGCCTGTGTAACACTGACCTCCAGGAAATTGCTTCGAGATCACATGTCAGAGAGGAGTCCCCTTAGGTCAGCTCAATGCATATTAGGTTACCCGCAGGATTCAGTATCTGGGAATCCTTTTCAAATCCAGGTTGTAACTTTACAATTTAGACCTCTTCATGTCACTCACATCCAATTTGAACTGCTGAAAGCAGTTTGCTTTATGTTTTTACTATGAAATTGTATTGACGAGGGGTGAAGACACCGCAGTTTTGAAAATTCCTACAGAGCCAGTCCTTCAAGTTATGCTGAAGGGACTTTCATTTTTGAGAAGAAATAGAGTGAATTTGTACCATGTTGGTGATTAATATAAGCATCAATTACTGGTGCATTGTCCTCCAAATATACAGTATATTAAATTATTAATTTTACAACGCAAATAAATTATGGTATCAATAATTTATCCACTTTTAACACTTAGGCTCGGTGGCCACAGCCTGCCGTGACCCTGGTGTCCCCATGAATGGGAGTAGGAATGGAGATGGGAGAGAACCTGGAGATACTGTCATCTTCCAGTGTGACGCTGGCTATGAGCTTCAGGGAGAGGAGAAAATTACCTGCATTCAGGTGGACAATAGATACTTCTGGCAGCCCAGCCCACCGTTCTGCATAGGTAAGTGATTCTATATCTAAATTCTTCTCAGTGTTAAAAGTTAGACATTACTCTTGTTCTGATAGCTAAGCCGTTATTCTGTGGTATATTTATTAAACTACAAAGCAATTTTACATTTAAATATGATATATGCAGTCACAGTTACTTTACTGAAGAGATATTTGCTGATTGGGGATGACTAGCTCAGTTATGTTCAGTGTATGGGTGCAAATAAACAAGTTAAAGAGATTTAATTTAAATTCCCTTAAAAAATCCATTTTATTATTTCCATTTGGTTATGACTCCATTCCTCTGGCTCCGGTCTGCTCCACATCCCCCGCCCCAACCGTCCTACCATCGGTGGCCGGGCCTTCAACTTCTCAGCCCCCAGGTTCTGGAACTCCATCCCCCAGTGCCTTCGCCTTGCTTCCTCCCTTTCCTCCTTCAAGGTCGGTCTCAAGATCTTTCTCTTTGACCGTGCTTTCAGCTCCCCCCTCAACTCTCTACCCCCTCCTCGCTCCCTCCCTTCCCTCCCCTCACCCTAACCATTTCCCCCCTTCTCGGGTCCTCCATAACTGTCCAGCGCCTTGGGACGTCCTCCCGATGTGAAAGGCGCTCTATAAATGGAATCTTGTTGTTGTTGTTGACTACAGATCAGCGTATAATAATCAACCTACATTATTTATGTTTTAAGACTAGAAAATAAGACATTTGGGACATTAATGTTTTACATATTATACAATGATTATTTTTTGGGGTAAGTTGTCATTGATTACTGTGAAACATTACTCCAGGAAAGAACCAATGTGATATCACATCATGGGCCATTCTGCTCCTGGAAATTCCCATGACGTAGAGAATATTAGTTAAAATATGTCCTCCAAAAGATGCTTCTATTTCCCAGCAATGGAGTGTTAGGTCAAAAAATGCTAAATATATTCAACTCTGATGTCCTATGGTGTGAAAATGATCAATGATGATAATTATTATATCACATATATCATTTTTCGCCTGAAGGCAAACAAGCGAGTGAGAGAAAATAGACAGAGAAAAATAGTTGTTTTAGAAAACAACGGTGAGCATTTCTTCATAATATTTAGTAGAATGATGAAGAAGCTTGTGTGGTTTTTTTGCTACTATTTCAGACGCCAGCCTGGCTCAGTTGGTAGCACACCTGCTTCTGAGTGAAAAGATTGTGGGTTTAAGCCCCATGTTTTTGGATTTTGAACTCACAGTCCAGGATGACCCTCCAACAAGGTGTTTGGGGAGTGTTAAATTGTTGGAGGTGCCATTCTCTGGATGAGAAATTAAGTCAAGATCCCATCTACCTGTTCAGGTGGTTGTTAAAGATCCCATGGCACTATTCAAAAAGAGAATGAAATTTCTCCTGGCCTGCTCAACAATTCCCCCAGATGAAATTGGTCATTCACTTCATGGCTGCTTGTGAAACTCCTTTGCACAAAGTGACTACCACACTCACCTACAAATACATAGTCACTACACTAAACAGTATATCCTGTGAAGCACTTAGAGATGATCCGATGACATGATAAGGTGTTAAATAAAATGCAGGAATCATTATTAATATATGTAAAAAAAATTTTGCTTAATTAATGAGTGAGACATCATCAGAAATCAATTTGAAGAATATATTGAGTTTAATCACTTTTGAGAACTGAATTAACCTCAGTTCTCAGGGTGCTTTATTAATCATATAATTTTGACTGCTTTAACTGTTAATTCTGTTTGCTCAGAGTGTCAAACTCAATAACTCTTGCAAGCCAGTTCCCCAGATGATGTAATAAGCGGCCACTGTGAATAAAAACTTTCATTTTAATTGGAACTAGCCCCTGTGGTTTAATTTCCAAAAGTATATTCATGGCTACATTTGTTTTTCACATTGCTTTGAATCATCACATAGTTCTTCTGTGTATTAATACATAAAGGTGACAGTGACTTCAGTTATCTCTTGGATCACTGACTCATACCACCTTTAAAATGTTATAAAATAAAAAATTAGCTGAGTGGGAAATGAATTGCAATATGCAGACAGAATGACATGAGCACTGAAGCGACCTGTGATAATGATTGTATCTCTGCCAATATTAATTCACCTCCCTCTTAATGTTGGATTCAAAACCAGTTTACTCCTCCCCCTTAGACATCACAGGAATTCAGGGTATGAACAGATAGATTGAACAATACGCTGGGAGTGAGGAAAACCTAATTCTTCACTGATTTGGTCTTTGGTGACATTAACAACTTGATGGTGCTATATTATTGGCTGGACAATTTCATCCAATTGCCATTCTGGCAATGCAGCAATGTCCGTCTAGACTATGCCCCGACATGGGGCTTGAACCTACAAGTGAATAGAGGAGAATGGGAAAGGGATTTGGAGGCTTGGAGGTTTGTTCACATATTCATACATAGTTGAATTTCTAACAGAGTTTGTGCAAATTAAAAAATCTTTAATTTTTCAGCACCATGTGGAGGAAATCTGACAAGTTCTTCAGGATTCATTCTGTCCCCGAACTACCCACATCCATATCCTCACGGCAAAGACTGTGACTGGACCATCTCCGTTAGCAGTGACTACATCATATCCCTGATGTTCATTAGGTAATTGTGCTTGTCTCTTTGTTTTTTAAAACAACTCACTGCTGATGTTTTGTTGCAATTAAATCAGCATTGTCATTACGCTAGGCAGTATTGTGCATGTAGACTAAGTTGATCAAGTCACCTGGAGTTGTGTGCGTAATAAAAGATGGCATACTTGCCAACAAATTCAGTCAACTCACAATAAAAATTCTGTGAAGCACTTTGAGATGTTTTAGTTATGTGATATAGCACTATATCAAATGCATGGATTATTATTATTATTATTTAGTCTTACAGTGATTTCTGAGAGTCTTTAATCTATCACCCTGAGGAATAAACACAAATACACTATAGTAGGAGCTGTTAAGCCAGCCATAAACTTACTAACATGTGGTGGTAAACAGTTATATTACCCCATTTTATGATTGTACTACCAAATATCAACACATTTGCTAACGGGCAAATAATAGCCTATGACAAATGGATTGATTAGCATGTCTAACATTAAGTCATTTAAGATTAAGTCTATTTGCTCTACTGATGGGAAAGGCAGGTCCTCCACACAACCTATTCCTGTGATTTTTCTCAAATAACACGATGGTTTAATTAATTTAGTCATGTCCATTTGATACTACCCATTATCATACAACTTTTAGAATGTAAGACTCTGGAAAAGTCACTGAGGACATTACAGACAAGTGAGTCCTCTCATGTAACTCTGATCTGTCTCATTTCATTGCTATTTCATTTTGTTAAGTAACCCCGAGTAGTAATGATGTCTACTACTGACATAATCACTGGATGCTTTCTTTGTGCAGGCTGACACCTGTCAACCTTGCTCAGTTGCAAGCACTCTCTCGCCTCTGAGTAAAAGGTTGTGAGTTCAAGCCCATGTAAGGACTTGGAACTCACAGTCGATGCTGGTACTCCAATACAGTATTGGGGTTATATCGTTTTGTTGAAAGTGCTGTCCTTTCAGTGGAGACATTCAACTTAGAACCCATCTGACATTTTGTAAGATGGACTTAAGGATCTTATGGTGCTAATCGAAAAAAACAGGGAATTTCTCCCAGGGTCCCAGTCCCCAAATAAAAAGTTGTTCATCGCCTATGAGATTGTTTGTGAGATATGGTTGTGTGCAAATTGGTTCCTATGTTTATCTGCAAAACACAATTATTGCATTTTACCGTAAATCCCTTGAAGAGTTTTGAGACATCCTCCTGCTATGAAAGATATTACATCACATGCAAGGAAATATTAATATTCATCTAAATTATGAAAAAAATGTTCTGTGCATCTTATACAGTTATATATATATATATTACAATAGATATAAAATACAGTGCAAGATATAAATGATTTCAAAATCAGAAAAAGAATTTAACAATAACAACAAAATTACATTTGTATAGCGGCCTTAAATAGCTCATTTCAATCTGTTTTGCTGAACTGCAGAATTAAATTAATTGTGAAACTAAATAAATTGTGACTTGTCACATTTATATACTGTAATGTGCAAATGTGGGAAATCGCATGGCTTAGTTGGATGAAGGACTGATAAATTCCTTGTTACTTATACGGTTAAGGACTTCCTCTGGTTTTTGGCTGATTTGTTTGAAGACATGGCTGCACCACCAAGTCTCATTAATTGGCGAGACAGCTTGTCCAACCATTGAACTCACAAATTTGCTGATCTCGTCCTGATTCCCAGGGAGACTTTACATTACATCCTGCCAGAAAGTCACTTTTTAGACATGGTTCTCATTTCATGGATCAAACAAGGTCATCAATCTGCTTTTCATTCCAATTGGCTTTCAGAACCTGCTTGTGTATCTGCCCAGCAATGTCAAGTCCTCCCAGCATGTTAGATGCTTTATAAAGGTAAAGTGTATTGTTAAGGGCTAAATGTACTATTGTCTGCAGATACACAGTCGCAACGCTTCACAGAAAAATCCTGTGAAGCACTTTTGAGAATGTAATCAGGTACTATATCAAATGCAAATATTCCTATCAAGATTTAAACCGAGAACTTCCCTGTCCAACAGCTGTTGAAATATGTAGTTGCTTAAGGATATGTTTTTAATGGTCAGTTGGATATCATACGAAAAAAAATCCCCATGCTTAAGAGTATCCAAACCAGATTAAGAGTTCCACACATCTATAGCAGGTACAAGGAGCTACTTACAATTCTCATAGTGAACAATGTAATTGAGCATAAAATGTCTGAGTACTGCCATCATTCTCCTGCTCAAAGGTTAGACACACATCCCATTGTTACGTATACAACAAATTCTTAACCAGTCAGTCTATGTGCTTGCATCAGTTAGAAATTTGTAGCTAACCTTTCTGCTTGCCAATGAAGGTATAATACCAAGCCAAAATATTTTAGATTACTTGATATGCTTCAGTTCCAGAAAAATAACTGAAGGCAATGCAAAACTAAAGGATGTCAGAGTTTGTATCCACCTTATGCACAGAATTGATCTCATCAGTTGCCAATATAAGATCTTGCCTAAGAGCTTACCTTGACCGTCCACATCAGGCACTTATTTTTATTTGTATGCAACTTGACATTTGCAGTGCTGCTTCCGAAATAGGAACTAGTAGACTTTGAACTGGTTTGACAAACTTTGCAGGTTATGCTCCCTTTATAATAACAATAATCCTTGCATTTCATATACTGGCTTATCACATCTTCGAGACATCTTAAAGGTCTTCACAGAATATACTTAAGTGAATTGACTGTACAGTTTGTGGGCAAAATTTGGCAGCCAATTGTGCACAACAGTGTCCCACAAACAGTCATGGATTGAGTGACCAATTTTTAAATTATTTTTTTGAAGGACTTATTAGCCCTGAAAGCGATCCACCAATCGACTAACAACCAGGTTCCTACTTACTGCTAGGTAAATAGAGGCACGTGGAGTAAGAAAACTTACCCAACATTTTGTCCTGCTGGGGATCAAACCTAGGTCTCTCGCTTGTAAGGGGTGTGCTGTAACCACTGAGCTACAATACAACTGAATACTATAAGGTAATAAGTTTCCTCAATTGTACAATTATGTACAGTTGAGAAACTTTATTCCCCACTGCTATCTCACATACACTGACCGGTTAAGAATTTGTTGCGCAAGTAACAATGGGCATAAAATGTAGGCAGTATTGATTCATGTAATTATACCTGCAGACTACCCAACAATGTAGCCACTGGAGATTTCTTTAGGTTATTTCGTTCAAACAAATCCAGCAATTTACTCCATGAAATTTAAAATTGTTGGGTCATTGTATTGTATAAGGTTTCAAAGTATAATTACTGTACATTCCAAAAGTAGTGTTTGCTTGGCACTCCGGATCCTCTATTGTTTGTGGTACTCTCCAGAATTAGGCAAATAAGGATGGGTCCTTTCAGGGAGAGCACATTCAATTTCAATACATAGGAATTTCCACGTGTAGGAGGAATGCACGGAATTCTCAGTTTGGTTTGGATACTCTTGGATACTCCCTGCCAACCTGCCCGCTCCCTCCGTTCAGCGGGCTCCGGCCTACTCCATGTCTCCCGCCCTACCATCGGTTGCCAGGCTTTCAGCCTCTCTGCCCCCACACTATGGAATTCCATCCCACAGTCCTTTCACCTCGCTTCCTCCCTTGCCTCCTTCAAGGCCAGTCTCAAGACCCTCCTCTTCGATCGTGCCTTTGGTCACCCTCCCATCGTTCTGCCTTCCCTCACCCCTACCCCACCCTCCCTCATGCTCGGGTCCTGACCCCTGACTGTTCAGCGCTTTGGGACATCCTCCCGACGTGGAAGGCGCTCTATAAATGTAATTTTGTTTTTTGCTGTTGTTCCAATTAAAGCTGTTTCTTAAATGTGTTCTGATCTCTACCAGAGGTATAGGTCAGGACTCATTTGTGCAAAGAGCAAAATACTGCAAATTCTGGAAATCTAATTAGTGCAAATCTGTTTCAGATGTTGGTTACTTCTTCATGAATAAATATCTGATATGTGGTCTAAAATCACAACTTTAACCTTTTGTCCAATTGCTGAGCTATCTGAACATATTTTTCTGGGTTTATTTTCTCTATCAAACACCTTTAATAATGCCCTACATTAGTCTCTATCAAACTTAGTATCTTATACAGTTCTATAAGCTTCCAACATTTACCTTGTTCCTCATAGAACATACTTCCTACATCTCTATACATGTCAAATATCTTCCTGGTTTTTGCGTACCCTACCTCTGTTATCTCCTGCAACGTACTGTTCCTATTCCGTTCTCTTCCTGCTCGTTGCCCCACATCGGTGTAATATATCAATCAATCACCATAATTTGTGTATTTTGCTTGTCTTCTCTCTATTCCTCCTTTGTTCAAGTGATTTTATAATTATTATTTTTAATAATAATATTTATTATTATTATTTTATAATTGCATATTTATTTTACAGCAGGAAAAGGAGATTTTGTTGATGAGTTGAAGCTATACTGAGGATTGTCTGGGTAAAACCACTCATTATGTCACAGGCGCTTTTGCTGGCAGCCATACAACAGTGATGCTGGAACTCTTTTTAGATGCTGATGCCTTTGGTTCTTTGCTGAGTTGCTGGCAACATCGTTGTCAATAGGAGGTTGTGTTAGAGGACGAGGGGCAGCAACTGGAAGCCAGAGAATTCCCACAGTGGTGAATCAGCCATTAACCCTCAGATGCCATTGCTATCACACCTTGCCATAACCTGCTATCGTGCTTCACTGTAATGCGAGTTAGAGTTTCATGGATCTAACCCAAACTATAATATAGTTCTAAAATCGAAACAGGTTGTGGCATTAGAGAAGAGAAAGTTCTGCCAGTATCTCCTCAGACATAAAACAGTATTTAATAGACTGATAAGTTCCTATTCCCAGATATGGGTTTAATTTGAAATGTTTCTACTTACAAGTTCCTGGGCCATGTTGTGGTTTATTATTCACACAGAAGACTGAATCGTTGTATTCACAACTTGCTTTTAAGCTTCTTTTCACAAGTACTTC